AGCAGGTACAAAATACAGGTACTTTTAGAGCCTGTAAAGCTTCACTCTGAGAGGAAACTGGAACGTGAATTTTAAGTTGAAATACACTTAATGTTTTCTCTTTTAACCATTCATCATCAAGCATGAATGCAAGTCACTAGAGATCCAAAAAGAAACATCATCTCTAACAAAATTAAACATGAATAAACCAGCAGTCACCTTAATTTCACAGTGACAAATTCTGATACAGCACTATATCCAAATTAATCTATTTTGAGCAATTTTAAGAAAGACAAAGGTTTCCAGAAGAGGTTTTTTTGGTTGGTTGGCTTTTTGGTTTGGCTTTTTTTTTAAAATGAGATTAAAGGAATACATTTGGCAGATGAAGGGACAAAACGGTCAAGCTTTCTGGCATATAAAACCTTCCAGCTTGCATTTTATTCCCTTCCATTTCTCTGAAAGAAATAGCTTAATTCTCTTTCCAAGACACTTGCTGTTATGGCATGTATCTGCTGACCATATGCTCATAAGACCTAACGGATTACCTATTGAAAATTGTGCAATACCAAACAAACAAATTCAACATCAAGAAATTCTTGTAGCACTGTGTAGAGTTATAATATTCCTTTACTTACCGCAATCAACACTAATAACCATTTAATGGTTTGAATTTTCACCTGCCAACATCCCTGAATGGTAATCCCATGTTATGGAAAGACTGACTGCTGCCAGCTGAGATTCTCTGTTATTAAACCAGTATTGATTCACAGGAATATGTCAGCTCTAGGGAATGATGAAGGCATGGAGAATGAAGAACCGTTTACAAATAAGGCCAAGGAATTAATTTAACATATTCCTAATGCCCTTACTGTGCAATATTTTTAGGTAGAGTTTATATACCGCACCTTTAATTTCAGTAACTGATTTTCAATTTGTGCTGTTTCCAGTTGCTTTTGCTTCTCTCTCAGCTTTTCCATAGATTGCTCGTGTGTATGTTTTAAATTCCTTATTTGTTCCCTTATATCAGTGTTCTCCAAGGTAACATCCACTAGAGTTTTCTAGAAGAAAGAGGCAAATCACATATTAAAAATCACAACTAATTTGGTAAACTAATATAGTCAAGAGATTATGGAACAGACAGAACATTTAAGAGTTTCCTGATGTGTCAATGCAGTGTGAACAGTTTTGCAAGTTTTAACATTTAAAATTATGGCTTTTGTTGTATTTAGTTTGCTAGAAAGTATTTCCATGAGGAACGTGCTCAGTGAAATCAAGTCCTGGAACACTATAAAAAAAAGAAAGGAACATGGATACATTTCAGTATGAATGCTACTCCCAACAATCTTCCTTTCTTCTCTCCAAGGGCATGCTATATGTATTAAGTGCACTAGACTGAGAAAAACTGTGACATATAAGAAAGCAGGAACATTAAGTTGTTCAGCTCAGATACGTGGGAATTTGGAAGTCTTTAAAACAGACATTTTATTCCCCCCTTCTCCCCCCCCCGCTATATTTCACAGGTATGTAATGTCTCACAAGTGTTTAGCATCCAAACATGCCACTTCCATTTCTGTTAACCAGTGAAGGTAGGAATAAGTCAGGAGATGTACCGTTTTGCACAATACAGAACAAATCACATTTTCACCATAGGTATTTCATAGAGACATGACTAGTGGCATTAATCTGCTGCAGATCAGTATCTACTGTACACTATTTTTCAACAGGTTTTTAAAAAACACAGGTGTTGGCATTTTATTTTTTTTCTTAGTTTCCTAAATTAGCTGCCTTAGATATCCAAGGCAGTACTTCATGGGCTTGTTTAGTGTTAGAATCTATATTTGTCATCCATGTTTTACGTATGCTTTTAAATCCATGTCAGAAAACGCAGTTGTCAGCTGTGAAACAGCTATTAAAATGTACCTGCAAGTCTATTGATGCTGATGTCAAGGAGCTGTTCATTTCACTAAAGCTATCTAAGGCTGCAGCCTGCACTCGCACATGATTCTCTAAGGATTCCTGATGAGCATTTGTCACCTGAGCAGGGAAAAAAAAAAAAAGTTTTATATAGAATAATGATCAAGTTTACCTATTCTTTCAAAGGGAGCTACAGAAGAGAAAAGACCCCATGGTTAATTTTCACAGTACTAGGATGCTTAAAATATACAGGCCTCAAACCATATTCTTGCACCTCAAAAACAAACAAATAAACCTCAGAATCCAAATATGCTAACAGAAATAAGGCACAAGTATATATGTTTATTTAATCACTGTAAAAGCTGTTCTTTTTGAAAGGACAAGAGGACACTCGGCAGATATCTATTCAGAAAGTTTATATACACAGAGTGGGCAGATTGTAAAAAGAGTGAAAAGCAGAAGAATGCAAGAAATAAGGAAATCTAGAAAGGTTTGGGTGAACTGTAGAATAGCCTTAATTAAAGAAGGAACTGGCTAATCAGGTACATAAAGAAGCAACATCAAGAAGACTTAAGGATGAAACAATAAGAAGCAGGTAGGAGAAGTCAGCAGAGAGCTTTGTTGTGTGAAAATTTGTCATCTTCTGTTATGTACACACACATGCTTAAAAACAAGGAGGGGGGGGGGGGGAGGCACAAAATGACATTGTTTAAGAAGAGACCAAAACCCAAACAGTGTAAATTATTATGAACCATCCAATAATAAAGAGAAAAAAAAATGTTACTAATTGAGGCCAGCCCAACTCACATTCTTAGATGGACCAGATTTGTTTCTTGATAAGAACAAAAGAACACTAGGGACTGATATGGAGAACAATTAGTGTTTAGTAACCAAGTCATACACAGATTAGGTCAGCATAGGGAGCAGAAGCCAAGTAGTTACTGTTAACCCTATATAAATGTGTGCTCATGTAAAAACAAACAAACAGAAGCAGAAATGCTTTGGATGGATTAAGAAAGTTACAAGATAAGAACTTGCGTGAAGAAGCATACTGCCTAGGGCAGGATATTGGCAGTACAAATTTCAAACAAACTTTATGAACAAAAAGTAGTCCTGGAAATTGATGGGAAAAAAGCATAGTGTTTCAAAGCTGAAGCAAAGAGTATATAAAGGATTTTAAACAGGATCCCCAAATAGCATGAAAGGTGGCAGTCATGTAAAACCAAAACCAAAACCGAACCAAACAAACAAAAAAAGCATATACTATTAGGTAGAACAACACTTGTGCTTTCTTTCAGGCACTCTAAAGTATTAAAAAAGGGGGGAGGGTGTCTCATAATGTGCCCTTTATGTCAGAAGGAGTGCTTCATAAACTGCTAATTTGCTTCAGAACTAGAGATTCTGTCAGAGCTGGTCAGAAACCCTAATTAAGAGAGATGTTCACGCAGGATTTCTATGGGTCTGACAGAAGATCTGGAAGTACAGAATATCACCACTGCTATTCAGTAAGTATCAGCATCAAAGACGACAAAACTGCATCTGAACCAGCATTTGCCTACATGCATACTGGGTGGGGGACTCACCTTGTTGGCATCATTAAGACTATTTGACACAGTTTACAGAAATTCAGTTTTCTCTCCCTCCTCCTCTCAAGTCAGGGTGGTTTTTGGGGTTTTTTTTGGTGGTTTTTTTTTTTTTTTGAGACTAGTTGCCATGGAATAAAAGTACAGTTTAACAGCAAGTTCTGATCTTTATACACAATACAGCATGCAGGGAACTGACAGTCTCCAAATGAGGGTGGCAGAAGGGCACAAGTCAGGGTCCCAGTCCCTTAAAGTCAGAATACATTTAATTGCCAAAGCTTCATCTGAACCAGGGCTGTGAAAATCAATGCTGAATATAAAATCCTCAGCAAGTTTTCAGGGAGATTTTTGGGACCAGAGATCTCAGCAGTTTAATATGAAGGATACTTCTACAGACTGCAGCAGCTTTTATTGCTAAAGCACCATGGCAGAAGAAAGACAGGTCATTGAACGACCATTGAAGGGTTCAATTAAGAACAAAAAGGTAAGTCATTTTTAGAACTGTCATGCACTTCAATACTAAGGAATATTGCTACTTCTTTTACTATAGTGTTTAAGCAATACAGTCAGTAAAACAGAGCAAAGTCTGTTGAAATGACACCAAGTTGCACTAATTATGTAAGTTATTTATTCAATTCACCCTGCAGCTTACTGGTACAAACATCTCCACTAATCACCAATACACAGAGACAATGCTATCAAGATCATTCCTTTATTTCCAAGAAGCAGGCAATTAGTAATTCCATATGCAAAAGCATCCCTGTCTTACTTTACCTTCCTGGAGGGAAAAATAAATAAATAAAGTATAGATGTCACATAAAACAATGAACTGGAATAGTTTGAGAAATTATTTCTGTTCTGCTGAAGCAAAAAAAAGTTTCTAGATA